GTATATACTTTAAGAAATGTTTGTTTGTTAAGAGTTTATTTCAGATAGTATAATTTACAGTGTCATTTGGTTTTGGTCTTGTTTATTTATGTTATGATCTCACCCATTTTTGACTCATCTTATCTCTTGGCATGTTATCGGTTATCAGTTATTACTAGTTATCGGCCATTAGAAGGAGAAAGGTATCGGTTCTTAAAGTAAGTTATCGTGCATCCCTATTAATTTTCACAGTGTGTAGTTAGCTCTTGGATCGACCTTATTTGGAGTTTTATTCTGACCGGACTGATGAGCTAACGACTAGTCAGAACAGGGCCAAAAACAGGGAGGTTGAAAACAACTCCAATTTTTTCTGAGTTTCTTATTGGTTTAAAGAAAACACTATTATTTAAATCTCTACACAACCATCCGTTTTGCATTACTAAGTTATTCTAGCAGAACGATTATGATATTCCTGTATGAAGTGCTGGAAGTACTGCTGCTTTTTGTGCCTACACATTAATCACATTAATCACAATAATTGTGTGATGCAAAGTCGATMGTGGTGTAGAGGTTATTAAAACAGCCTTGACATTACCTGCTGTAGAGTGCCAACAGACTGGGGTTGTTTTAAGATAAAAGTATAATTTAGCTGCATATCAGTCRGATCAGAATACATTTTTTTCTTCAACGTCAGGTGATCTACCTACAACAAGATGTTCACTGTTCAAACCCATTCCACAAAAGTCCATTTCAAAATGAATTATCCCTTTAAAAGTTAGGTTTCGCAGCTCTATCAGCCTAATAACATGCCTAAAAATCTAATATATTTAAGCATTTTCATCCTATTAATTGTTTTGCATAGTGGTTATAAAAAACATGCTCATATATTCAAAATGTATCATTTAAAATTCAAATCTGGCAAACGTTTGGCGTTTAACCAACTGCAAGAGGATCACATCTCACTGAAGAGATACTGGTTTCTTTACAGTCTAGTTCGCACAGTATCCAACTTCCTCCTGAAAAGAATTAACATATTCCCTGTCACATGTGGGTTTTAGCACCAGCTCATGTTCTTTCAAGGACACGCTCAGAAATGTCTTCTACACGTTAAAAAAATGACATGACACCACGGTGATGAAAGACCAGGGAACTGCCATTTGCCCTTGACATTTAAGCAATGTGATCCCAACATGTTATCCAACATGCTTCTTGGAGACAGAGGTTCTGGGTTCCTGTGACCTGCTGTGATCCATCGTCTCAGCGGCTTCCCTGTGAGACTCAAGTCACTCGGCTACAACCTCATCCAGCTACGCTTTGTCTCCCAGACCAACCAATAAATCGCCTCTGCAACTCCACTGTCAGTCCTGTATTTCCTGGTTGAATTTAATTTCATCACCACTTTAACCAAATTCTTCCTATGGTTACAGTTTTGAAATTAAAATGGATCAGTTGTCATTATTTTCCAGCTAAGGCAGCTGATTTCAAAGCTGTTTGTGCACAAACCGTTGTCAAAATAACTGAGCCACATGTTTTCACACACACCACATCTTTTGCAATAAAGTTCCACAGCCCTGGTTGACATTCAACTTGCCATTGTGGTCATAATTAAAATTTAACTGGGGAATAAACTGAGTTCAGCCTTGTTGATCGTCCATCATGTGATTGCAATCGAACAAAGTTGCTTTATGTCATCGCTGACGTTTTCTGCTAAGATAAATTTTTTTGGAGCCGTTCGTTGCCGGAAACGGGAGGCAAACACAACCTTCTTGAAAGTCCAGAATTGTGGTGGGGAGTTTGACAAATGAATTTGAAACTGCGTGGTGGGAAAAGACAACAGCAAAGCTGTTTTCTTTGAAAGAAATGTAAAAAAAGTCAGCTAGCAGATCAGTTACTTCACTGTCAATACGAACAGCTGCATCCCGCATGACTCCATGTTCAACCTATTTTAATACTCGCTGCATTAACGTCCTCTTACTGTTACCTTTAAATAAAAAGAATAACCTAACAGCTCAAATTAGGTTTGTCCTTTGCAACATATATAATTTGAACTTTTATATTCTTGTTTTTATGGCTGTTTATGGTCGCTGTTTCATGCATCAAATGTCGTTCTGTAACAGTATGTCGATGCACTCTAAGTTTGTCACAAAAACTATTTTGTCTTGTTAATTTTAGATGGGGACCTGTGATAAAATAAGAATAAATGTCCGTGTCTGAAAAATACCACGGCAAAGTTTACTGGACCTGAGGTCAGCCRTAATGCCCGCTGAAATGTCATCCATTGCTCCAAATATGTTGATATCTAAACAAACCTTTACGAATATTGTCTGAAAGCTTTTGCTCTTTCATTACACACAATTTAAAGATGGAAAATTGTTATAAATGTGATATGAGTTTCCTCAAATGTGAACTTTTTGTGTTTGTTTTTTTTTTTGTGCGCATGTATACTGACTCCAGGGAGAGCTTCTCCTCCTCTTCGTTCAAGTTGGGGAGTCTGTGCAGACCCAGAGTCATCCTGAGAGCGTCGACATGCTCCTTCAGAGGTTTGTACTCATCGTGCAGGCGGCGAGTTGTTTCTAACAGCTTGTTCAGGTCGTTTTCTGACTGCTTGATGGTGCTCTCCATCTGAAAGAAAAAAAGGTTGGCTATTTCAGACATACATATGCAACAAAMTCAATACAAACTGTTCATGACCAATAGGGCTGCYATAAACGATTATTTTAATAATMGATTAATCACCGATTATTTATTCKATTAGTCGACTAATCGGATCATACGTTAATTGAATATAAAACATACAGCTTATCACGTCAGAATACAGCTGCTTTTATATAACCATCGTTAGATTTTAGCTAAATGCTAACTAAAAATAATAGCTGTGGAAGGTAAGTTCTGCTCTGCAGATATTGCACAGGTTTCTCTTTCATTTTCTTAAAAACTTCCCACACTTTTGAGCTCCGTTGTCAGGTAGCCATGATACCAGAGCCTGTCTGTATAATGTCTTGTGACGTCCACGGCCTACCCCAGTTACCACTACTGTGCATGTGTGTCAAGGACAGAAAGGCAGATGTGGCAGTGGAAGGTGTCAAAGCAGTTTGGAGAGAAAAACAAAGTAAAGAACAAAAAAAAAAGAAAACGATTAATCGATTATTAAATTAGTCATCGATTATTTTAATAATCGATTAGTTGTCGATTAATCGATTAATCGTGGCAGCCCTAATGACCAACAGAAAGCAAAAAAAAACAACAACAACAACAACACTGGTTTGACCTGTGAGTAAGCTGTGTTAATGAACCACAGAACCAGTCACTTGATAGTAAATCTATCAAAWGACTGAATAATTGAATAATTTTGATGGCAGAACCTGATCCACATAAAACACAGATGAGCTATTTGTTTCCATGAGTATAGTATGCACATATGCATGCCGTAAAAGTCAATACCATCTATATTTATTGACGACTCTGGGTAATTTAGCTAAAATACTAAATCCGAGCAAGAACCAGATGCCAGCCTTTTGATGATTAAAAACCATCATCAACGAATTCCTGGAACTGAAGGTAAAGGTCCAAACTGGTTCTTTGTTGTGCCAAACACCTGGATTGTGGATTTTAACCAACTTACAACATTAATGTCTGCATGGATGAGGCGCAGCTCCTCAACGTGAGCCATTTTCTCTTGCAGGAGGAGATCCATTTCTTGTTTGTACTCCTTCAGATGTTTCTCTTCAGACTCCAAAGCCTCAAACTCCATCTTCAGACGAGACTTGATCTTCTGCATCTGGATCGTCTTATTCCTGTAGCCCGTGGCAAAAACAACACAYGCCAGCTGTCAAACTGTCTACAACACACTTGCTCCTGTGCAAAAGACGCCAAGGAGACAGGTAATTTGTCTTCAAAACAAAAGAAAACACACATAAACAGTCTCTTTTTTAAATATCAGTCCAGCAGTCAGGGATTTTTAATTAAGGCAAATTCAATCAGTTTACTCTTATTTATATCTCATCAATTCACAAAAAATATACGTACCTGTTTGCATAAAACACTAATAAGCAAACTGTTCTCCAATTTTATTTAAAGTCTGACAAGCTTAGCTATGATGCTACCACATTATCAATTAGCGACGCACATCTGGCATTTGTTCTGACACATCTGGAATGATGATACATTATTCGAATATGCGTTTAAACGACAACTTGTGTGGATTCATGCCACAATTAGCCTGCAAACCTGTCCTAGACAAACCGAAAGCAAACTGCAACACCGAGAAAATCACAGCGAGAGAGGAGGTTAGCGTTAGCAAGCTTTGTAACAAAAGCGAAGCCAAAGGGCTCATTCCTGGACAGCTAGCGTTAGCTACGTTAGCCGCTCGTGCCGAACATCTGGAAAAACATTCGTTCGACTCGAAATCCGAGTTTTACCGTATTTCCAAGATGTTCTCCAACTTGCACATGATTTCTTGTTCGTCTGCCATGGTTCTGCACCGTCCYGGTCGTTCGGCTAACCGGCTCCAGTCACCCAGCAAGGCCAAAGACGGTGGTCTCTCTCCTGTTAATATAAAAGATAACACACACAATAGCCGGCGTGAGCGTGCACAGAAGCGCGCGCCCGCGCAGTCAAACCTATAACAGTGGACGAGTTGAACCAAGACACCCCTGTTTGAACATCATCTGAAATACAAAGGTTTGTTTTTTTATAACTCCTCATCATTTATTTTTTACATAGTGTGCACATATGTAAAGTAAACAAGTTAATCTAGAAAAGTCTAAAAGCGTTCAAATATTCAAAACTGAGAAAATTGAACACTTTTAAAATTAAAGGTATAGGTAGGCTAGATCAGTGGTTCCCAAACTTTTTGTCTTCTGACCCACAAACTATCCATGGCAAAAACTTGTGACCCCAAATATTACTGGTCTGAGTACACAAACTTTGTTAATAACCCTAAACACAGGCTTTTTGACAATCTAAACAGCTTGTACACAAATATAAATACTTATTTATACTTATTTTGTGTTTTTTGTAATAACTATAGGGACAATATTACATCAGCAATTA